CATTGATAACTTTAAGCCCACTACAAGTAGAACATTGCTTTTTTGGTCATACTAAACTAGGCAGTGGGCAAAATAAAATTATGATTATTTTCGTTTAGACAAATATCGAATTTATCGTTACTATGATTTCTGAAAGTCTGTGCGGTTTAAAAAAATGTTTACTAATCCGAACCCGATCGTCAGTTTTCGCGGATCAAGTACCATTTTATGTTCTATCCCTTAAATTCACCAGCCACCGCGGAAATAACAGGAGCACCCTGAAATGTTTTCTGCAAAATATCTGTTCGGAGAAACTAAAAATGCCTAGAATTTTCTATAGCTTGAGAAAGGCTAAAACATTTCCGATCTAGATGTCCGTTCCATTCCTGTACAATGTTCGAAGGTTATCTAATAGTATAATTATCTAATAGTTTAATTTTTCACTCCCCAGGTTGACTATTTTTTGTCGAAAAAGGAAACCTAAATTTTTTTTCAGATTTAAAAATGCGATGGAGAGAGGAATCAGAAAAAGAACCTAACTTCGTAAAACTTCAAATTGCATCTAAATTTTTCGGGAAAATGTTGCTTCATATACAGCTGCACATTACTGTCTTTCGATACTGTCTCGGGGTCGGTATTGATTCAATGCATTGCTGCGTTACTCTTTGAAGAAAAAAGTATTCGATTGACAAGATTGCACTCATACTGACCCGTTGAAAAACCTCGGCAGGAAGAAATAATAAAATTTAGTGACCCATTTTCTCAACCTAATCACCCACTCGATTCTACCACCGTTTGAAAACCTCGGCCGAAAATTCATTTTGAACCCGTCGCAAAAATATACGTGTTCGTCAATCTCTGGTGAAAATATTCTCCATTGCACTCAGCTGATTATAAATATTAGCTATTAATTCATATCTCCAGAGTCGGTGAGCTCTTAATTGAAGATGCTTCACCGAGGATATGGGGGTTCCACCATAAAAGAAAGAAAAACCCTCAATAGAAGGTCGGTTATCAGTATATGTTGTCATTGTGAAGGAACTGACGTGCTAGCTACATTGGATTGGAATTAGATCATTTTTTCCCCTCTATTGAAGTTAAAATGACCCAGATTAAAAGAAAACACCAAAGAAAATGTGATAAACAAAACGAATTAAAGAACAGTCTGGGTGATTTCTAATTGCGGTGAAACAGCGTTAAGGAGCAAAGGCTCAGAGATCACTCGTTTTAATCTTAGCCGTCGTGTCATAAGTACCATGAGACGTGTAATAGCGATCGAATCCTCAACTCTTTTATTGAAAAGCAAAAAGTTTAAGTTAAATAACACATAAATCCCTTATTTAATTATCTTTCCAAAATGGTCTCTAAATGATCTAAACTGTTTATGCTTAAAATTTATAGTTGAGAACTCCAGCTTCAAATTTGAGATCTTGAAACTTTACGACTTCAGCTCTTGAAGATTTTGAAGCCGGTGAAACTGTCCTCTTTTGCGCAAGAGGTTTTGTCGTTTCTGCTACAGCTACGAGGATAAAGGAATTTGCCACTTTTGGTCAACCATGCTTTGCTGGAGCAGTGTAAGTACTTGAGTCCCACCACGTCGCCATTGTGGATGGGAGTAGAATCCTCTGCCTCTTTGGAGAATATTTGAAAAGTGGCGTTGTCGTATATCAACCAGTTGTTTCCTGTCATGTCGCCTTTGAAACTAGAGAAAAAAGTGGCAAAAGGAGGTCAAAAAGCAATAATTGACTAAATATCTAGCAGTCAAGTTTGTGTTGGGCCAAGTAAAACTACTTTTGCCTATAAGTTCTTAAGACTGACCGAGAGAGAAATGCCAATAACTGACTAAGAGCAAAATTGTACAGACCGAAAGTCAACTATAGACATCAGTTGCATCTTCTCGTCCGATGTTGCTTGAGTTAAATTTCCAAGAAGAGTTGATTTGGTGTTTAAATTTAAAGCTGAGTACTTACGAATCCAAATGGCACTGCGCGGTTGAAGATTTGCCACAAGTCAGCTTGTACTGAGGACCGTACTTTCTAACGATCAGCGATACTTTTTCCCCGCTTTTGATGGGCTTTCCCAGCGTTTCTCCTCTGGCTGTTATTTTGAACTCCGTATTCTCAGGTGAGCAGGGCGACGAAACCTCAGCATCATTAGACGGGCAATGCGTCCATTGGCAGCCAGATTTATTGCAGCTTAGTGAAAGTTTCGAATAACTGCTATGAGCTGATTTCAAAATAATGAAGTCACCACTGGTGATGGTTTTTCTGCGGGCTTAAAACAAAATTCACAATCACACAAAATGTCAATCGTTTTAAAAATGGTTTCGAATCTTGCGAAGATTCGAAAATGTTTTGGGGGGTCCTATTAAGTACAGCAAATCATAGACTTCAAAAATGAATTAAAAACAATTTACACTCTGCTCTTTACCATTGTTGTTCGAAGATTTAGCAGCCACTGAACAGCTTACACAGGCCGCTAAGAAAAGTCCCACGAAAATTGCCAAGCTTAAAAACTTCATTTTTAGCCTTAATTTGCTGATGTGGTTAAAAAAAGTCTGAGTCCCAAATAATCATTTCAGTAAAGATGATGTGGGGCTAAGAAAAAGCTGTCTTTGCCGTGTAAAGTGTGTTGCAAAACATGTGATAAAAATGCGCGAACTTGTTAGTTGAGCGGAAGTGAATGACACCTTAGGGGAGTGCTCTGTAGTGAAAACATTTATTGAAATAAGAAAACCGCAAGTATAAAAAGAAGAGGAAAGAGCTTGTTTTATGAGTGCGATGGAGTACTAAAGGATCGGTAGAATCAAATATCTCTCGCTATACAGTACTAAAAATAATTAAAAGGTTCAGAAAAGAAAAAAAAGAAAGACTCTTAAAAAACAAAGCCAAATAACCATACTTAAATTAAGTTCGAAAGCACTAAAAATATAATCTCAAAGTTATATATTTTCATTTATATTTTATTCCGCCGTAGCGCGATTAACAGCACACTACTGACCGGACACGAGAAGGATATTTCATTGTTATAAGTATTGATCGACACCGAAACGCTGTTCAATGTAAAAATTATGCTGAAAATTTCTTAAACTTATGGATTTATTTCACTTCAAGTCGACAAAAATTCGGTTCCCTCGACTAAACATTTTTACATTCAGGTTTGTTTTACTTATCCAAGAATTTCTTCCCTTTCAGTAAAAATGATGAGATGAAAGTAAACACCTCAGCCGGTAGCTGGAACCGTAGGCAACGGAACTCAATGATACAGTGTCTCCACTTTTGATGGGTTCGCCATTTACTCTTCCAAAGGCGGTGATATAGAACTTGGAGTAGGAAGAACATGAAGACCACAAAGATTTCGTCATACTCTGACTGAGTAAAGGATCGGTGGAATCAAATATCTCTCGCTATACAATACTAAAAATAATTAAAAGGTTCAGAAAAGAAAAAAAAGAAAGACTCTTAAAAACAAAGCCAAATAACCATACTTAAATTAAGTTCGAAAGCACTAAAAATATAATCTCAAAGTTATATATTTTCGTTTATTTGTTATTCCGCCGTAGCGCGATTAACAGCACACTACTGACCGGACACGAGAAGGATATTTCATTTTTTTTTTTTAAATTAGATTCGCCAATTATTGCCAGGGTCACCGCAACAGCATGACGCCACTTACTACGGGCCCGTAACAGTCCCTCCCCCCATGAGAGATAGACCACCACACCGGGAACAACGTCCCCTACTCTTTACGAACAGTGTGTGGGTTCTTTAACGTCCCACAGAATTTATGTATCCAAGGGTTGTGACTGAGACGGTGCCTACGGTTTATCGTCCTTATCCGAGAAGACTAGAAAGTCTAACCGTTTGCAGATGTCTTTACAAAGGCAGCACTTTCTCCTCAGTTATTTAGAGACCCTGAGTGTTGCGTCCGGCCGGGACTTGAACCAGCGGCCTCCCGCTCGGCAGACCGGCGCTTACAAAACTGAGCTAACCAGGCGGCGGTTATTGTTATAAGTATTGATCGACACCGAAACGCTCTTCACTGTCAGGAGCCCATCAAATGGAGCCTCCATCTCCCATACATGCCCTTGGAGTCAACCCTTTCCCGAGTAGATTTATAATTAGAACGGTTCCCAGGGGAGACTTCGCGCGCCGACGGTGGGAAGAACCAATCACAACAACGAAATGACACTGCTATTGTACTTCATCGAACAGCAGGAAATTCGGTGTTGACAGGCCAACACAATCATAAGCTAGTGAAACGTGACTTTAGCGTTTCCATCTCTCAAAGATTTTCTTTCTTTTCTTTCTAGTGGGTAGATTATACTGTGGAGAGTTTTACACTCTGACAATGTTAATCTTCATTTCGGTTGCTTGTCTCACAGTTAGAGGCCATGAAGCTGGTCTGTTACATGCATAATGATTAACTACTACCTGCAGTCTGTAGTTCTGACAGGATTCGTTTTCTTTAGTCAATTTTTTTGAGCGTTAAGGTTCTTATTTCGGCTAAATGACTGAAATGACTCAATATTAATCAAATTTCTAGTTTTTCAAGCCTCTTTTTTTCCCGAAATACGTTTATTTAAAAAAAAATACTTGTAGTCCTTGTGGTTGTTTTGTTCGTCAGCTAGTGTGATGATTTCCTGCTATGTTTGGTAACGCCGGGCCCAGCCATTGTTTTCTCGCAAAAACGTGATCCACAGATGCGAATTCGGAGGAAAGAATTAAGCCTAAACTTCTGCATTAACTGTTGAGAATTGTCCTGTTAGTCAGTCATAATTCTTTTGGCGCAGATACAATCCATTTTGTTTTTCTTGAGATAAGTGGGTCTTTGGACTGGAGCGCCATGTCACAAATTCCTCCGTTAGCAATTATTCAAGGTCGAGCAACTGTTGTCTTCTGTTCAACTTTTCAAGTGCCAGTTTTATCAGGCAATTCTCATGGTGATACAAGTCAGTTGTGAAGGATGACTGCAATTTCTCAAATTTCGGAACTGAAGCATCCCTCGTTAGTTGCTACTTAGGTCATCGCTTTTGCATGCGGTGCTTAACTGGCGAAATCCACTCCACGGTGATGACAAAAATCAAATGATCCTGGCACTTTTTCGGCGCTGATCAACGAAAAGTTCCAAACCGTCCACAGAACGCTTAATCATCGACTCTTTTCAAGGTGCATGCTTAAATGTGAGATGTAAAGCGGCAAAAAAAAAAAAAGCACTCGCAAAGATAACCTTTCCGTGACCCTCAGTTCGCCGTCTTTGTCCCATCGCTTCATGCTCAGTCTCAGTCGGGTAATTCATTAACTTTTATTTCATGATACCCAGATCCCAGCAGCTGTAAAATTGTAAAAATGGACGTATAGTAAAAAAGGAAAACGGTCGAAGGACGGGCTTATGAGTTCGACTTCATCCAACTTCATTTTTTTCACGGTGACATACGAGACTCACGGAAATATGACACTTTTCGCGGGAAACAAGTCGTTCTATTTATAAATCTAATCGGGAAAGGGTTGACTCAAGAAATTAATGGAGATGGAGGCTCCATTTGATGGGCTCCTGTCACTGTTCATTACACAATTTAAAATTTTGCTGAAAATTTCTTAAACTTATGTATTTATTTCACTTCAACTCGCCAAAAATTACGTTCCCTCAACCAAACATTTTTACATTCAGGTTTGTTTTACTTATCCAAGAATTTCTTCCCTTTCAGTAAAAATGATGAGATGAAAGTAAAATCTTCAAAATGAGTCGATTGACACTTAACAATAAAGGTCAATGATACATTTTAGATCATTTAATTTGGTTATTTATTTCTCTTAAATTGACAGTCGGTTATAAACGTAAATGAAATCGTCTTGTAAATATTACAGTATTTTTGTTAGTTAATATTAAGTATGCTCAAAAGAGGATAAAGGGGACAGAGAAGGCATCCCCCATACACACCCTATTCCATAGGTAATTCGTCTCGAGTTATTTTTAACATCACAGATCTAAAGAGGGATTAGACATCAGCCAATCACATAGCGCGAATGTGTTCCGCGTGGATGACCTACGCTGAGAGCCACGCGTCCTTCACGAAATGACGCAGAACAAAATGGGGGAAGACGCGGAGAGCGATTTTGCTATTCCTTCTGTCGACGAAAACGACTACAGCGAGATTTCTGCGAAAGCTGTGTCAACGAAACGGAAATAAAAAAAGAATCGCCCTTCCTCTCTTGTATAGAGCTAACAGTACAGCAGGGAAATCCTTAACACATTGAATATTCTCTCAGGATCATTTATAATTTACAGTTTGAAGAGAGCAATTTCTGGTTTGATATTTATTCCTTTATTAGTCTTTTATTATTCAACAAAAATAACACTTGGCGTCCTACTTGCNAATTTACAGTTTGAAGAGAGCAATTTCTGGTTTGATATTTATTCCTTTATTAGTCTTTTATTATTCAACAAAAATAACACTTGGCGTCCTACTTGCTTTATTGTACAAACGACCGGTTTCAATAGACCGGCGAAATTTCTCATTTTATTAAAGCACTGAGGTTACGACAACTTCGAGTTAAACGGATTTCACGGGTTGTCAAAGAGTCCAGCGATTCCTTTTTCCCAGGTGAGCGCCGACTCATTTCGCTTCAATATTCAGGAATGCTCTCGATCTTTTTACGCTTCATTGCCTCGCCCGACATGTTTTGCACGGCGTCTAGTCATGCGAAACCTCCACGAAACATCCACGCGAGGTAACTTTATCCCGATTCTAAAAATAACTCGAGACCAATTACCTATGGAATAGGGTGCGCATGGGGGATGCCTTCTCTGTCCGCTTTATCCTCTCTTGGTATGCTGCATCGTAAGTCGGCCCACTGCGGCTTACCTCTCGATTGGAGCCTATTTGCAGGCGGAAGATTGAAGTGTAATCCCCTTTTTTGAGTCCAGATGATGAAGGGTACGTTTCATCTTTGAAGTTTTCTAAAACCATTGTTACAGTAAGTGGGTGATTTCTTACAGACAAGGGAAATGACGCGACGTTGTTTTCTCGCGCTTTCACGCTCGCGCTATCCTGGTCCCAGAGGTTTTTCTTTAAATTAGTTGTCGCCGCTTCGCTGCTCTCTCTCTCTTTTCGCGAAGAAAAATTTCAAGAAAAACCTCTGGGACCAGGGTACGCTCGCGCACTTTTCAGAGAAAATTTAGTTTAGCCTACGTGGTCGCTGGTTATAACCATATTTAAATTAAGGTCGAACTTGTATTCTCTTTTATGCATTTTATCTAGCCTGAATTTCATCCGATTACTTCGAAACGTTATTACTCCCTCAGTAACGTACGTTGTTGAGAGAAGAAAACGACTCGAAGCAATAGGATGAATATCAGGCTACATTTTATCCTGCTCAGTAATTGTATGGAACTTTTATTATTATATTTTTTTATAATTATTTGTATTCGGATTCAATATACAAATTGACAGAGTTAGTTCACTGTAAATAAAATCGTTCTGTAAATATAGTCTTTTTGTTAGTAAATATATACAGTAAT